TTCCTTCTTGTCCTTAATCTTGTACGTTGTCTGGTTCTCTGTACCTTTCTGACTGAGATGCCCTCTCATCCAAAGGATTTATCTTTTCCACCATCGTTGCCCCTATTTCCAAACCAATATTGCTCTCTTCAAATAGTAATGCTACACCGTTCGCCTCCACTGAATCAACCAAAGCTTTTGTTTTGCTTTCCACACTTCCTAGGATAGGGGAAACTGTGAAGACTTCATCATCTGTATTCTCATCATCAATGCTCACTCAATCTGAGTCGAAAACATCACCCTTATCCCTTTGCCAATCGTACCTTGGGTTTGGTTTTTTTGGGCTAATAAAATAGGATAGCAGCCTAGGTTTCCATGTCCAAACTCCTCCCGYAGTTTTACGCTCTTTCTGTTTCTCAGTTTGGTTGGACTTGGGTTGGGACGATGATACACCGTAATAATCATCTATTGTCACTCGAATCCTATCCTCTATCACATGATTTTTTAAACAGTCACATGACCTATCTTTTGGTCCAATTCACTTAGAGGTCCACTTGTCTGTTTCAGCCCATCTGTTTGCACCCCTTTTTCTTCAACTACTCCCTTTGAGACACACATTCCTTCAAGTAAGTTTGATTCATTTGACCCATTCAACTTGTTCAGTCTGGCACCAAAAGATAATGCTTGCACGAAAGTTCTATTGACTGTCACACCCTTGCCTTGTTGCTCACGAAAGTTCTATTGGCTGTCACACCCTTGCGGTGTTYAGTCTGGCACCAGAAGTAAGTTTGATTCATTTGACCCATTCAACTTGTTTATGTCCTAGAATCTTTGGGTTGCTTAAAAGTTATCTTTCCATTTTGGTGAAAGTTTCCGTCTGCTTTTGTTTGTCCATCCCCAGATTGCCACATAGAACTGACCCTTCAACCCCTTTGTCTTCCTCCTGTCTAGCCTCCCTCCACAAGGCAACTTCAATAGAGGTTGCTAACTACAACGATAGCAATACTCCTCCCACTCCAATGGTCACCTTCCTYGGTATCTCTTCTGGTTTTACTCCACTCAGAAGAAGAGTTGCACTACGTAGATCTCCTCAAAAAACACCATCTAGTCGAGCACCACACAATAGAGCAATTGATTTTGCAATCTCCTAATTCCACAAATAGAATGGCAACCCAACTAACCGAACAATCACATTATCTCCAATTGAGAAGAACTTGGAGTTGGAGCATGGAGACCATTTAAAAATTGAAAAGGTTCCTAGAACATCTTGAATACATAACGCTTCAACATTTACCTGATTTTCAAGAGGGTCCAACACTACCTTCTCTTGCTCAAATAGGGTTGAAGTAAAAGTCTTCACCAAGCACAGCTTAACCTTCAAGAGTTCCACAACTTTCCTCCAATCTAATACCCTCTTCTCAGCTTTTAAGATTAGCATGTTGTTTCAATGCCCTGACATCCTGTCTGCTACGAAGGAAGGATTACTACTGCTATATGCCATAGCAAGGAGCTCCCTTTTTGGTTCCTCTTCCACAAGTGGGCTAGGAGTGCTAGTATACAAACTCTGGCCATTGTCCCCTTTCTCCATCATCTCTGTTTTTTTTCCATTTTCCTTCTGTTTAGGAAGTTTGAAAAAATATTARTCACTCCTTTCCACCCTTGACTGTTTCTTCCTTCAGGAAAACAGACCATTTGCCTCTTTCCTTTAGCAAAATATTCAGAAAAAGAGATATGAAGGATCCCTTTACATTCCTCTTACTTTGCATTACGTACTTGCTACCCATCTGGGATAACTTTTCTTTCCATATACACTACTTCCCTTTTGCTGCTGCATCAGAAAGGAACTCTTTCAGCCAGTCAATCATCTTAGTTCCTTCCACAAGCACCGTAGCCATTTTTTGTTCCCTTATCTTCAGTTTAAATCTTCCTTTAATCCACATTTCTTCAAGAAGAAATTCTTTAGCCTCTACCTTCAAAGCTATTTTCCATTTTTTTTTCTCCACAAATCCTTTCTCCATCATTGCTCTCTACCTTCAAAGCCCTTCAAAGCTGTTACTCCCTTAACCGTTTGTCACTTKCTTTTATTGAAAAGTAATCGATGGAAACTTAACAACAGCTAAGAGATTATACCAACTCCGGATCTAGTGCATTTGAATAAGTGATTTTTCTTCAAGTCCAGTTCAAATGCTACCATATCAAAAGCAATTAACCAGCAACTGTCTCTTCTTCTATGCTTTTTGTTTCTCTTCCCTATTTTACTTTCTTTTTATGTTAGTGAGGGTGGGCCTTGCCGCCTTGGTGCAATGGTTAGGCTGCTTCATTGCGACTTGGGTGACCAGGGTTCAAATCTTGGAAACAGCCTCATGCATTGGGCTGCCCTTTTAGTACTTTTTTATGATAACAATCATCATATAGCCACTTCACAGTCATCACCACTAGAGGTTTTCAGATTATCAAGTTGAATACTCTCTTCAGGTTAAACAAGCCTTCAACACCAAAAGATCAACTCATGAAGGTAGCAACAGAGACTGAAGTGACAGTAAAAGCCGAGAGAGAGAGAGAGAGAGAGATTGTAGTAGTACACATCATACAATAATTATCACTCTCTTTCGGTTGTTAAAATTATAATTTTCAATTTTTATTAATTTTTTGGAAAATTTATTTATTTAGTATTTGTATATATAAATAATAACTATTTTTTCAAATAATAAATATGTTTCATTTTTAACATATAAATCATTTAAGGTAAATAAAATATTTTTTATAATTTTCAGTTTTTATTAATTTTGTTGAAAAGATTTATTTATTTAGTATTTTTTTATATAAAGAATAATTCCATTTTTCAAATAAAAACGTGTTTTCATTTTTATTTTTAACATATAATTTATA